CTCCTGGTATATGTAGGACGCCTCCTGCACCTTGGCACCCCCCAGCTGCACCCCCACCCAGGCCGTGGCCAGCTGCGTGACGGTCGCGTCGTCGTCCAGCGACGACATGGCCTGGTTGTGATGTGTGTGTTTGTGTGTGTGTGTGTGTGTGTGTTTGTGTGTGTGTGTGTGTTTGTGTGTGTGTGTGTGTGCGTGTGTGTGCGCGTGCATGCGTATGTGTGATGTGTGTGAAGCGGAGCCGAAGAGGCTGACAGGGGCTGGGGTGAGAGTGGCGGGGAACAATGAAAGGAGGCAGGCACAGCCACCCGCAAGCATGCAGCCGCGCGCGTTTCCAGCAGCCGGGCGCCCAGCTCGCGCCCTGCATTTGGCAATTCACAGGCAATCCGCATGAACGCATGCACGCTGCGGTGCCGCCAAACCCACCTTGACTTGCTGCTCCGCCTTGTCGACGCGGTTCATCTGCAGGTAGATCTGAGTGCACAGCGCCATCCTGCGGCATGGGCATGCGAGCCAATGGCGCTCTTCGAGCCCCTGCCCTGCCGCACCGTGGGCGCTTCTTGCATCGCGGTCGCAAAACGCCCCCTTAGGCGCCCCAGGCCGAAGGCCACGAGCAGTCTGACATGACCCCACAGCACGGCCCAGGTTTGTGCACGCGGCGCCGCGCAGGCGGCCTACTCACAGCTCCAGCGTGAGGGGTCCGTTGTTGGCTGCTTTTAGGGCCTCGACCTCGTTGCCCTCCGACGCGTGGATGAGCCCCGCCACCAGCCGCACGTACGGGTTGCGGTTGCAGGCCGAGTCGTCCATCCACTCCGACAGGATCGCGGCGGCGGCCTCCTGCGGGGGTTGGCGTGCAGGGCGCGCATTTGCGTATGGGTGTGTGTGTGTGTGTGTGTCTGTGTGTGTGTGTGTGTGTGTGTGTGTGCACGTGCGTGCGTGCGTGCGTGCGTGTGTGTGAGTGTGTGTGCACGCATGTGCACGCATGTGTGTGGATGTGAGGGTGCATGTGCGCACGTTTCGGAAGGCACTTGGGAAGGGGCCGCGGCATTGCGTGGGCCGGGTGCGTGGTCTTCTGAGAAAGCAGAAGGCCAGCGCACGAAGAGTCGGCCCAGCGCATCAACCCCGCGTTCTCGGGTCTCACCGGGGGGACCCTCTTCCCCGAGTACTGCGCCAGCAGCTTGATGGCCAGGGCTGACATAGGAGCAGAGTCAGGGATCTCACTGATCACCAGCTGTGAAGGGCCAAAGTCCGGGGGTTTCATTGGGGTGAGAGGGAGGTTGGGCTTCGCGTAGCGTAGCGAGGGCACTGCTTGCACTGCCGCTCATTCCTGCTTGATCCAAGCAAGCACGCAAGTTCATGACTGCGCACGCACACCCTACGCAGCTGTGGCCCCCCCCTTCCGCTTCCCGCCATGTCATGCGCCGCTCACGTCATGGCTGCCGAGTGCAATGTATGAGCGGTACACAAACGCATCCTTGTCAGCGGCCTCCGCCTCTGACAGCCCCGCCAGGTCGGAGGCCTCATTGATGGCGTTGTTGAAGGCGCCGATGTAGAAGTTGTTCTTCACGGTGAACAGCACGTCGCGGTCCATCTGCAGCGTGCGTATGTGCATCGTGCGCGCGCGAATCGGCGGGTGCGGCTGCAGCCATGTGCCCGATGCCCTCGAGCCGGAGGAGCGTTGGGTGCTGTGTGGAATGTAACCGCGAGGCCGCTGCTGCGTCCCAATCACATGTGTGGCGCAGCAGGGCTGCCGAAAGATGTGCAGTGCTGTACACGAGGGGAACCCCATACTGCCTACGATCCAGCGACCCTCCAGGTGTGCGCACCTCGACCCGCTGCTGCAGGAGGTGTGCGCAAGCCTCGCTCCGCCTGCCGCGCAAATAACGTCAGTCCCGGGTAATTCTGATCCTCTATGTTCGTCTACTCACAAGACTGCAGTACAACCGCAGTCAGTGCTGCTCGGTGGAGGTTGTGCAGGGGTGTGATCTTGCAGGCAGAGGTTGCTTACTTTTCTAAGCAGACTTTTAATATTTCGTCGGCTGCCGTTTTGCCGATCAAGGATGTCCTTGCGGATAGACCTTGCCCATTTCGACCTTTGCCATGACTGATCACCACCGCCTGTGATACCGGTATGAACGACCCTTTAAGCCGCGGCGGTGATTGAAAAAGTGGACACAACACCAGAGAATAATGCAAAATGAGCGTCAGGCTGAGAGTTGAGTTACACGATGATCTCGTCGATCGCACGGCGCGCAAGACGCAGCGGTGCTGGTTCAAGCCCGAAGCAGTTGGAGATGAGACGCTCATCCTGAATATTGCGAAAGAGGTCGGGCTATTGGCAGTGCTCCCCCTATGTGGCGCCGCCGCCTGCCGCCGCGTCACTCTCATGTTGCAGGTGCAGCTGCAGGTGCAGGTGCAGCCGCAAACACGCCGCTCCATAGTACCTCCCTTGCGGCCGCCCCACACCTTCCTCGCAGCTCACCGCCTTCTTCGGCCTCCAAAGCGTGGACTACCAGCAGCTGGTGCTGTCCGTTGATGGCTTTGAGCTGCCGCAGGATGGCCCTGCGTCGCTGCTCAGGGATGGAGACTTGGTCGCGGTCTCGAGCGCGCTGCCGCAGGTAGCCGCACCAGCAGCAGGGCCAGCAGCAGCGAAATCGGCACATGGCGCGGGCTCTGGGGCCCAGAGGACCGGGGCCAGCGGCGCCAAGGCGCCCGCCCCGGCTGCGGCGCATCCACACGAGCCCGCACCCAAGCGGAAGCGCGCGGAGCCTGCCATACCTCCTGCTGCGCCCGCGGCACAGCCAGCACCGGGCGAGGCGAAGCCAGGGCCGGAAGCCGCGGCCGCCGGGGAGGCAGCCGGGGCAGCAAAGCAGCGCAGCCGCAGCGCGCGCCGCAAGTCGGAGAAGCGGCGCCTCAGGCGGCTGGGGGTGCTGCCTCGGAAGGCCAAAGAGCCCGTGCAGCAGCAGCAGCAGCAGCAGCAGCAGCAGCAACAGCAACAGCAGCAACAGCAGCAGCAGCAGCGCAACAAGGGCAAGCAGACGCGACTGCGGTGGGACGGCGACGGCGGCGTGCTGGAGGACGAAGGGCAGCAGGGGCAAAACGGCGGCCAGCAGCTGGGACAGCAGCAGCAGCACGAGCGGACGGCGGAGGAGTGGCAGCAGTGGCAAGCATGGTACGCCTTGCAGTCCCCGCAGCAGCAGGGGCAGCAGCAGGGGCAGCAGCAGCAGCAGCAGCAGGAGCAGCAGCAGATGTCAACGCCATCTCTGCCTCAGCGGCACGAGACGGGCAGTAGCAAGCGCAGCTCCCGAGGCCCGCAGACGGCGCTGGAGGCGGCCGCAAATGCCAGCCCGCTTGACCCGAATGGCGGAGTCTCGCCGAACGTGAACGACGCGGCGGCGGGGCCGTCGTCTTTCAAGCAGAGCAAACTGCCGGCAGCAGCGCAGCCGGGGCGTAAGCAGCCAAAGCGCCAGCAGCACCCAGACCAGCGGCCCCAGCAGCAGCAGCAGCAGCAGCAGCAGCAGCAGCAGCAGCAGCAGCAGGAGGGTATGAAGAGACACGTCAAGGGGCTGCAACAACAGGGTACGCCGCCGCAGCAGCAGAGGCGTGTCGTCAACAACAAAGAGCATGCCAGGCGCAGCAGCAGCAGTGATGACAGCAGCAGTGATGAGAGCAGCAGTGATGACAGCAGCAGCAGTGAGTCAGGCAGCAGCACCAGCAGCAGAAGCAGCACCAGCAGTGACAGCTCCAGCAGCAGCAGCGAAGCCACCAGCAGCAGCGAGCCCGGGGCCGACCAGGCAGCAGAGGGCACCCCAGTCCCCTTCGAGCAGCTTCCACCGCTGGCAGCGCCTGTGCCCGACGTCGGCTCTGTCGTTGCGTACAAACTGCTGGAAATTGGCGCCGATTGGACCCCGCAGGTGGGCTGCTTGCGTTTTTTGGGGTGCACATGGCCCCACGTGCGACGCCTTGCTGGCGTTGTTTGGTTTCGAGCGGAAACCCTGGGGACGGCCCTCATGGCGGCGCGTGGCGAGGCCCCTAAGGCCACTGCTGCCTCATGCCGGCCGAATGCCAGGGTCCCTCTTTGTCTCACACCCACCTCCAACCCCCGCACGATGCCCCTAAGGTTTCAGAGGTGCGCCATGGCCGCGTGACGGCCGTGGACGCCGCCGCGGCCACCGTCGAGCTCGCCCCCTGGCCGGCCGGCGCCCCGCACCCCCTGAAGACACGCATGGACGCTGCCAGGGCCGCCGCCGCGGCCGCAGAGTGGGAGGACGGCGGCGGCGTGGGACGGCCGCCGAGGTGGCCGGCCGGCGTCGCGGCGGGCGGGGGTGGGGAGGGGGTGGAGGATGCGGGGCTGGCGCTGCTGGCCACCACCGATTACGATGAGGCAGGGGTGCTGAGGACGGCGCTGGGCAGCCTGGAGC